GGGCTCTGACCACCATGTGCAAGAGAGTTTCAGCTCAGCCAGAATGGCAGAACTACATTCCAGAGGCAGTATGCCATTAGCCGTAGAGTTGGCATCAGACAACCGTAAGTCTTCCTAAACCAATGACTGGACTTGGGACCATTTAGGAATTCAACTTCAAGTGCCATCCTTGCAAATACAAGCTATAGGCCTCCTAATTCTTACACCCTGTGCACACTAGAGTGGAAAGTGTCTCAAAAGTATTGTAGCTGCTCCATGTTTGTTTAACATCTTTCATTTCACCCATGAAAGTCCATTTTAAATATTCATCTTGCTGTTTAACAGGCCATCAGTTTCCCCAAGGGAAAAAAAATGCTGGACATTCATGATGCTAATTTGCAGAACCTCAAGTATTGATCAAGATCTCGCTAACAGGAGCACTTGTGGTAAACTCTCGAGGGCTGCGCTATCCAATATGGTAGCCAGGAGCCACATGTGGCTGTGGAGTGCTTCAGCTAGGCCAAGTGAGGTGCTCTTTAAGCGTAAGATACATTAGAGCTGGAAGACTTAGTGCTCCCCCAAAAAGGAACAGACCCCGGTCCTTGTCTTACCCGAAAGACAAGTTTACAGATGGGAGATGGAGTGCATTGTGTATCGAAAGATTTTGAAGGATTTATTTAGGAAAAGAAAAGTACACTTCCAGAAACGGGAGGCGGGCTGATCCAAGGAAGGGAAAGCGGTGGTCTTTGTTTGCCCTTTCTCTTATGCTGTACCGGGGCTTAGAGATGGTCTTTGGATTGATTGACGGCTCTTGCCCCTGGAATGCTTGTTTCCTTTGCGCACGTCCTTACCCATGCTGTACACAGAAAAACCCATGGAGGGGCCAAAACTGCAATGTTAATTATATAACAATGAGCACTGGGTCCTGTCGGGTCAAGTTCTTCTCTCTACCGAGCAGTTGCAGCTGTTGGTTCTAACCCATTTTTTGCTGACACTCATTTAGAAGAAGTGAAGTCCCTTTATGCTGGAGGCGGGCATAATGCCATCTTCTGGACCATCCTCCCTCATCTGCCCAGTCCCCTACTTCTATAATTACCTAATATTAGTACAACCCCCACAAAAAAATTAAATAAAATATCTCATTAATAATTTTATATGTCAAAATAATATCACATATATTGGGTTAAATCAAACATTCCAAAAATTCATTTCAGCCTCTTTCTTAGCATTTAAAAAGTGGCTGTTAGCAAAGTTAATGTTAAGTATGTGGCTTACATTACATTTCTGTCGGACAGAACTGCTGCAGGGTACAGAAGATGGAATTCCAAATGAGAATACTTGCTGGTTTTCCCGGGACTGTGCATTTCTGGTGAAAATGCCAACAGCCTGAGGTACAGTTGTATGTAACTTAACGGAAGGGGCATGTCCCTAAAATCAAACTGTATATGC